TTTTCTCTGTCTTCTTCTTCCATGCTTTATGTTTTCTCTCGTCGTAGAGCTTTTCCCTCTTCATTACCGACAAAATCCTGGTTCGCCAGTAGAAGCGAGCAACCGAGCTAAAAAAAGAACCAAGGGAGGACGAGAAAAAAAGAGACGAGACAGAGATCACTTTTGACCGGTTCGCACGCGTTCAATCGCCTCTCCCTCTCACCCCCCTTTATGTATACAGAGACCGCAGTCTAGTTCGACGCCTCTGCCGTGCGCTCAACTGCAGCCGTCGCGACGACAGCCGCATGCTCTCCCTTTGAATTCCCTCTCGGTTATATCCAAGGGCGCTGTTCATAAGTAATGTCCACAGATAAGCGAATGTCGCGTGTAGGTAGCTCGTTACGGTCGGCGTGGGATTTGCCGCTTTTTGCAGGCTAGTGCGACAATATCATAGACAACACGAACAAGATTCTCCCTTCCCACTGTGCGATAATAAATCTGAGATGTTTAACAAATAAAAAAAAGAGAGGAAAGGGAATTTATATCCTTGTGGTGGTTGTTATCGATAAACGAGTCGCTTAAATGGAACGAACAGCGATTGAGTGTGGACGACATGTAGGAAGCGTGAATTTCCCGTGACGCTTCTAACCGACGACGTGTTAAGTATATGTTGAAATGATCTGCTGAAAGATCTTCAACTACCCGTGACATTTTGAGTAGATTTGTTTCTTTTCAGTCCTAGATGAATATTTTGTTGATAAATTCGATCGCGCTAATCGGAGTAATTTATACAAATTGGAGTCCCTTCGACGGATAAAAGAAAATCGTCTTAAATTCATTCGTTACTTCGCTATTATTAATCCATGAAGAGTATTATATTCGATTATAAGGAAAATAACTGCCGCCGTAAAAAGTACGACGACCATGCTACTCGAAGTTCCTCGTTGAGATTCATTTTTCCCCTGCAAATATAGGGACGGCTTTTCGTGCAACCTGTGCATTCACCATTTTTCCTTTGATCACAGACTAACAAGCCATGCACAATTCATAGACATGCACCGTGGTAAAAAAAAAATACAAAACAAACTGCAAAAGAAAACCGCAACATGGAGTAGCAGTAAGATTTTGCTTGTCTACGTCCTTGTTTAACAATGTAGAATCTTGATACTTGTTTTTTTAATAATTATTAAAGCTATTCGAAACAGTAATTAATTGCCAAGATTAATAAAACTATTATAATTGACAAATAGAATTTTGTGAATATAACTATGTGTCATATGTATTCGTAAATTTATTAATATAATATCATATAGTAAACTTATATAAATATAATATTAATAAACTTTAGATTAGATGCTAATTTTAAAAATAT